TACAAAGGCCCAAATTCATGCAGCCCAAACCAATGACCGTTGGGCACTTCCCCTGTGGCCACTAAGGGAACGTGACTTATAAGTGTCCATAATCGCCATTAACTTGCTCTCTAAGAAAAATGGGTCCAACTTTTCTATTTCCTCGGAGCAGTTGACCAGGAAGGAGGCCACGTGCTAGACTTCATACACTCGTACCCCGACAGTCTTCATTATTGGGTCTTATCGTGGCCCAACACTGAAGACCTTAGCCCAACACCGAAGGTTATAAATACCCTCTTACATGAGAGGGTCAGGTATTCATTCACTCACTCGCTCTTACTATCGTACTTGCGCTCTGATTGCTCTTGTTCTTGACATCAGAGTACCTTGCAGGTACACCCCATCCACTTCACTCAACAATTGTCGTCTAACTCTAGCTCGTGGGCCAGTAACGATTCCTTCTGATCCAGTGCGATCAATTCCTAAGATCTCTAATGCAAGAGTGCACTATATGACATAGAGATATAGTCTAATATACAAAAATTCTAAGTTTTCTTAATTTTGATATCATGCAAAGTATCTAATGGTAAAGTTGCACTCACATATTGAACCGTTAGAAATTGAGTAAAGTACCACTATAAGAAAAACTTGATGAATCACCCCTCACTAAATTTAGACGTTGCTTGATAATAACCTCGGATAAATCACAAAACAAAAAATAAAATTAAACAAATAAAGAGTGTAGGAGTGTCCCTCGCAAAAAAAAAAAAGACATTTTGAAATGTATTTGTTAGAGACTAATCATCATAAAATGTGATTGTTGCTTACGCGTGGGGTGCCCCTCGCAAGTGTTTTTCCCATTGTTCGATTCACCGCTTCGTGTGAGACGTGTTAGTTGCTTTAAAGATTATCTAAAAAGTGACTTTATAACTGCTCTCATATATGGAACTTCATCGCTCGCATGGTCATGGCTGCTCGCATGTACCTATACTGCAAAAATATAAAGATAAAAATTAGATGGTAACAGGGGCAGTGCTCGAGATTTACAGCCATCAAAATATTCTTTGGTTATTAATCCTCTATGAGTGCTCGAGATTTTCAGAATATATATCGAAGCTGTGAAAGAGAGAGCATGACAAGGAAAAACTAAACTAAACATCAATCTCAAATCAAATGCATATTTAATCTAACAGCATAAAATGCAAAAAGCCACAAAATCTTGTCGAAAGCCATTGAAGATTTCGTGAATCTATTACCAAGTCATAACGGAAACTGGAGAGAAAAAGAGAGATTTTGATGTTGCTAACCTCCTCAATGTTCGACGTTTTGGGAAATATTTGCATGGACTATGCATGCATGTCACTGCTATAACACTTTCTAACACTTTCTAACACTATCTATTTAACTAAGGGATTTGTCCCCTCACATATTTCTATTTTGTGATGGATTTTTAAAATTTGGGAGGTGTTATCTCTAGCTAAACACACACTTTTTTTTGTAAGTAGATATATTATTACCCACTCGAATATCTCACCAAACACACTAAAATATGTTACTAACCATTAAAAGTATTTTATTAACCATTTCACATGAATATATTCAAACATAAATTACATTACATTCATCTCATAATTAACTAAAATTAATTTTTCAACATCAATTAAATCAAAATTGACTTGTCACCACAAAACTTATCATACTTAATTATATAAAATATTAATGTAAGTGAAGACTCATTTTAGTCTCTCACAAAAGTTACATAATCTAAATCAATCCCTCGTAAAAAAATATATTTTATTTAATCTCTTATAAAATTTAACCAGACCATATTAATTCTTTTGTCAATATTTTTTAATATGGTTTTTTCTGAATTAATAATATCAAAAAAATAAAATTGTTTCAAATAAAGAATAGAATTCAGAATCTTTAAATCACATCTTCTTTACCATTATGTCAATGTATATTCATGACACATGATTCTCGTAATTTATAATAATATTAAACAATTCCGAATTTAAAATATAAAATATAAAATTTGTAAGCATGAGTCTCGAAGCCAACTCCTTTCAAATTAAATGTAGTCCCTTCACAACTAGACTAATTCTTGTTAATATTTCTAATAATGAATATTTAACTTAATAATTGAGAATAAACATTTTCTTATTTACTTATTTCAAATAACACACAAATAAATATTTATTTAATTCAAATAATATATAAATTTAAAAATAAAATTAATAAAATATAAATCTTCAATATAATTAATCAAATATAATTAAATTAAATAATATTTATTGAAATTAAATAACACACAAATAATATTTATATATTTTAAATTAATACAAATTAAAAATAATTAATTAATTTACTATTATTTCAATTAATTGTTAAAATATTATTAATTTTTAAAATTATTTAACTAATTTAAACTAAATAGTAACTAATTAATTTAATAGTAATTTAGTTAAATATTAATTAAATTATTTCTATTTGATTAATTGTATTTAGGATTTATATTTTATCAATTTTATTTTTAAATTGTGTATTATTTGAAATTAATAAATATTTGTTTGTGTTATTTGAAATAAGTAAATATTTGTTCAAAATTATTAAGTTAATTATTCATCATTAAAAATATTAACAATAAAAATTAATTTGTATAATTAGAAAATGACTATCATTTAATTTGAACGAACTTAAATTATGTATTTTTTGTTAAAAATTCAAAATTATTTAAAAATTTTAGAGATCGTGAGAATTATTTGCATGATTATACATTGGCCTAGTGGTAAAGACATAAAATATGGTTTAAAGGTCCAGAGTTCAATTTTTTATGGGAATTTCTTATTCCACTCCATGCTTTCGAAAATTTATTTTTTGTTCCTAAAACAATTGAACTTCAATGATGAGATCTTTAACTGCAACATAGAATCATCAACAATAATAAGTGAGATATAGCCAAATTCTGATTCCTTTTTTTATGCATCAGTCAATTAATGTACAAAGTGAGAATACTAGTAATAAATATCTTAAGGATACTACTATTAATAAAGAAATTAAATATATGATCCTATCAAAAGTTCTCAGACTTCAAGAAAACACAAACAAGTCTTACAAGCATGTTCTACATATATTTAAGAATCAGAAATATACTTTTGATTTGTATCGGAAGTGCATTTTTGATTTTGCGTAAGTGCAACTTAAAAAATGTGCGTACTGAAAATATATTTCTGATTTACGAGAGACAATTTCAGAATTACAATGAGTCTTTTTTTTTAGCATGGGGTGGAATAAAAAAATTTCTTTCTTATAAGAAACAATTTTGACTTTTTTTGATATTATTAATTCAAAATTATTTAAAAATAAAATTAAAAATAAAAATCAATTTAAAATTTAAAAATAAAAAATAAAATTCAACTTGATAGTCTAGTCACAGTTTAAAAGTAAGAACAAAAACCAATTTAAGAAAAATATTAACAAAGAGTATAATATGGACCGGTTAAATTTTGTAACATATTAAAATAAATTATTTTCTTTAAGGACTAATTTGGATTGTGTAACTTTTGTGAGAGACCAAAATGGACCTTCACTTTAATTATTTTTAAACAATTTCTTTCTCGTAATACCTCTTTAATTCGGATATACATATTCGAACGAACTTAATATTTTATTTTCTGAAGATTTTCGGACATGCATATCCGAACAAATCTCTATATTTCATTTTCAAAACGTTTTCAGATAAACATATCCGAATAAAACATATCATTTAAAATTAAAATTAAAATTAAAATCTCTAATTATTATTAACTTCATAAAATAATCATTTATCAAAATAACATACTAAAAATAAATTATAAATTACAATAATAATTTCTATTTAGAATAGATTATTTAGACTTTAAAGTTTCTAAACAATTTTATTGTATTCTTTTAAAACTATCTCAAATTAAAATAACAATTTATTTAAAATAAAATAAAATAAAAAATGTATCTTTAAATTTGAAAGATGATAAGACATACATTAAGAACATTAATATATCAAATGGATCTTTGAAAAGTTAGAACAAATTCTTCTTCATGTTTCTTTCTTACAATTTATAGAAATAACTAGAGCAAGCTTATAAATATAACATTTATTTTTCTAAACAAAGGGGAGAATGTTTTGATTTAAGTCTTAATTTAATTTAAAACTATAATTATTTCTTTTTAAACATATAAATCTAAAATAAATAAGAACAACAAAATTATATGTATTTAAAATAAATATCTTTCAGATTTAGAATGATTGCAATTTAAATTCAAAATAAAATTGAAATATTAAGTTATTTCAGATATACTTATCTGAAAATCTCCTAAAACCGAAATATTAAATTATTTCAGATATTCATATCCGAAAAATATTTTGAAATTTTCACAAGTTTTTTTCACCTATATAAAGGTATACTAAAAACTTCTCTTATTTTTATACGACTTTGATCTTCCATGCATTTTTTTAATATAGAAAATGAAATTTACTAATTTTAAACTAAACTAAAATACTCTCTGTTAGAAGTGTCAAAATTGGTCCCTGAATTCTAGTTTAATTGATATAAATTAATATTGTTAGATTGAATGTCATCACTAAAATTCGAATAGTAGTACTCACAACTATTTTAGGAGTGAATTTCTAGTAATTATTAACACGTTGTCCAAAAAAATTGCAAAAATTGAGTTAACACAAGATTCAAATAATTGAATTTATTTTAAAGGCACTCAAGTTGTGAGGCATTCCAAATTCAACATAACCATGTTTGGATTCATCTAATTCAACAAAACCATGTTCAAATTCATCTAATTGTATACCTTCCAAATTCAACAAAACCAATGGTAACTTGGTACAAATAATATGGTTACAAAAGAATCTCAAAAAAAAATTCTGCATCACATAGCATATGCCAAAAGGAAACTCCATAGCCTATGTATGCATTGATGGGGACTACATAAAAGTAACACCATAAACAAGGTGAAAACTAATGGTGAAGCTAATAAACATAAGGCAATATTCTCCATGGAACAAGTTTGCGATACTCTAACCATATATCTTTATACTTCTCCGCACATCGAGCTTCGTCTCTTCTCTCTCTCCATATTAACAGAATGAGAAGATAAATTGGATAGAAGTATGGAACTGGTGAACTGCAACAATTGGTAAATTAATTAAAAACGACTCGCATTGTTTCTTTTTAAAACAAAAATCTTCATAACTTCATAGAATTAAAGAGATCACCTGATGCCACAAGGTAAGCTAAAAGAGAGAGCAAGCAGCAAGTCTCCTAGGTAATTACAGTGTCTCGCAACACCCCTTAACAAAATATGATAATGATAAGTAATAAATTCAATGAGAAACATCGAGAAGCATATGAACATGTTTTAACTATCTTCGAGGTGACAAATGATAATTAAGGGATGACAAACGAAATCTTACCAATAACCAGAAGCAAGTAACTTGCCTCCAACGACTTTTGGAGGCTTACCCCATATAGGAGCCTTTGGATTCTTCTTGAAGTCGTGTTTCTGCTTGTTTGCCCCTCGAAATACCATGTATCTGCATATATATTTTCAATTACAGTTTATAAGTTTTACTGACAAATGATTATCTGATAATTTTATAATTTTATCAAATGAAGTTTTCATAAAATTTACTTCTATGTGTCAATTTAATGTCGCTTAAGGAGGGTGTGTGATGCATTATAGAATTCACTTTTACAGATTATGATTAAGTTACCCAATAAGGAAGACAAAGAAATTAGCTACAGCCGCGGCTGTTGTTAACTCCACATTGTTCCTCAAAAGCCACCAGCCCTATAACAGAAATTGCAGATTATCAATACATGAAAGATTTTAGATGTAAAGAATGTGAAGCTTACAAAACTAGTTGCAACTTTTACTTTTCAACACAGGTGAAAATAACCCATTTGAATCATACATCTAAAAAACATGCCTACCTTGGTAGGCCAATTTTGAGTGTTTGACCATTGCTTTTGTGTGAGTGAAACAAAATGTAAACAATATCGGTCTATTTTCTTGATGACAGCAAATTGTGCACACAACAAAATGTAATTATGATTTGCGAGTCAGGGGCTGCTATAATCTTGAACTATCTCTCAGCCTATTTTCTTGGACATTATTTTTCAAAAAATAATTAACTTATCTTCGTTTTGTCAATGATATGTAATGCACCAAGTACTTTTGTCACAAAAATATGTAAACACTGATATAATGTTTGTTGAAGTTGACGAGCTTTCTTTTGTAAAGAAAAAAGGAAACAAAAGTATTATTTAAAGCATTAAGAAGCAATAATACGCATTGTTCACAAGTGATTAATGGAAAACGTGTACTATGGATCTAAGATATTATAAGAGATACCTGTATGCTAAAAGTAAAAGGAATCCACACTAGATCTCCAAAGACCAACATGAAGCCCAATCTCTCCGCAATTATGTCCCATCTGCAAAAGACAAGAAAAGGATTGAAAAGAGAATTTCAATCATATATTAATCATATCAGTCTAGTCATTGGAATTTCTACGATGGGTGGTTCTTCCCCTAGTGCAGAAAGGTAATGCATAGACTGCATCGATAGACTTAATCATAGCAAATAATTCCACAAGCATGTAACCACCCCCGCCAAATAAAATATAAGCCGCACACTTACAAGATGTATACTTGTTGATATCTGGTTTATTTGAAATCTATGACAAAAGTCTAATTTAAGACATCTTAATGGAGTTCAAAACAATCTTGATTTAGTCTGAAGTTCGATAGGCATGAACGATTCAGAAACCCAATCCAAAAATAGACATTTTTTACTAAAACTCATCAGGTATTTTTTCCCATTGGTGCAAGAATTATAATTTAAAACAATATGTGGATGTCAACTCATCAGTTATTGTTATAAATCTTAAAATAGGACACGCTACTGATAATGAAATGTAAAGAACGCGTCAACCTAATACTATTCAAGTCACACGTATAACTCACTTACGTGGATGTCATATATTCTTCGTGTACAAAGTAGTCCAGGATGTATAGCTGGAACAAATAAGTAGAAATTACGGAAAATCAGAAACACAGAAGAGTTTTTTCAATCGACAAAAGAAAGTTATGCAAGTTTTTGAGATTACTGCACAGAATAGCTGGTAGAGAATCATTGACTTGCTCAAAGTACCATCTTGAATGCTCTTGGCAAGAACGGATAAGTTGATAAGTAGCCACCCCATCATTCCAGCTCTAACAAAGAAAAATCTGCAATTTATGTATTGTTAGACATATAGCAGCATATCAGAATGACTTAAGCCATATCTAATTAAAAAATTGTCAGTTAAGATGCACGTCAGCTATACATTTAAATTGTGTTCAAAAAATATTGCCTTGGAAAATAGGGACATTAACCTTATATTTGGTCAAATGACACAACTACAATAACATTAAATGACAGAAATTTTAGAATTAGGACATGGAATTAGAATGTAGACACATGTTTAGATTCATTTGCAACCTGCTTGGAGTATTATTATAGTTGCATACAATATCAATATGTCTTTCCCGTGTTTGCTCTATAACATGAATACAAGTATTCGGTATAACAAAAAACTCAATTTCATTCCTTCAAACTCAAATCAGTATTATCGATAGAGGATGGTGGAAAGCCAAAAAAAGTCCGGCATTTTAAGCCGCATAAAACCCCGTGGTCCTTCCATCCTTCACAATAATTTACAATACTGACGCAAATACTTGTTTTATCATTTTTATGAAGATCCCGGCTGTATAGCCTAGTGCCATACGATCACAATTAATAAAAAGTTGTTTTGAATAAGAAAAAGCAAGGAGCCAAGTCGAATAGATCACATACTTGAGGTCAATACCCATGAACTGAGGATTTAGTTGTATTCCAAACCACCTATTAAATAAAATAGAAAACAAATATCAACAAGATTAACTGTAGAAACACAATTTCTTCAGGGGATTAAAGTCTACTTGTTGCCACTAATTGCAGGGGCCAGTACTTTGTCCCAGTAGACAGAATAACAAAGATACATAATTTTGCCAAGGGAAGTACTTCGTCACAAACGCAGTTAGACATCATATTTTCCCCGTTTAGTTGGCCCACATAGTACATCGCAGTTTATTATAATGTTCATTACTTATTATTAGACATGAAATTTCCAACAGAATTAAGTACTGTATCAACATATTATTTAAAGTGAAATCACGGTAAAGAAAAGATATCAAATAAGTGTTCTTATTTTTATAATTTTATCAGTACGAGGTGCATGTAATCATGTTTAAACCCGAAAGTATAACTCATTGCAATGCGTTTTATTTATGCTACTTCCCAATAAGTTAAGGAGTTGATAAGAAATATCTAGATACCTACAAGTTCCAAATATTTGGCCTTTAAACTTTCCCACTAAAGTAACAATTATTTAAAGTAATCTTTAATATTCAGAGCATACCAATCGTCTATCAGGTTTCCACTAATATGAGGTTTTAGCGATGAACCTTTATTCCGTGACTTGCAACCGGAAAAATAGAGTACCAGGGTCACCTGTCATATCCAAGAGATGATCAGAAGTGACAACCTAAAGGGAGGATAACTGTCATGCAATCCAGAATCATAAAAATAAAACAGAAGATAATTTAAATGAACCTCTTATTCATAGTTGCATGACTATACCACAAACTGTATATGTATAGTATTTAAGTCCTAAATTTAGTGATGAAATTTTTATTTTTGATCAAGTTGAAAAACAGATCACATGGAATAAGTCATTTAAAAGGGGTAAAGGACTGCCAAAGCAAAATTTAGACAAACCACCAAAAGAGACCGTATGGCCAATACCATTTTTTTACTCAATGTGGTTAATACCACTTAATAATGTAAGATCCTGAAAGACCTTTTTTTTTTTTGAGAATTGTCGATTGAGTTTAGAACTTTGATATTTGCTTTCATTCTATTACATTAGCAGGAATGATTTGAAAACTAATTTATTTATACACCAAATTTGTCTTTATAACTAAGTTTTTCAGAATAAATTGAGTAATGACCTCTCTTACAATCCATGTAACCTGTTGAAAGTCTTTGATATGACAGACGAGAAAATTAAAATTCAATTTAGGGTGGTTTAGAAAGTATCTACATAGCATTCAAAATCAGCAGTAAGTGGAGAAGAAAGTTCTAATCATTGGGAGAGATATATAATCAAACTACAACAATACATATCACTCTTAAGTGTTTTCGAAGACAAACAAGGCCATTGCACAAAATAAGCAATGTAATTAAAGTTTGATGCTCCAAAAGTTAATTGTAAGCTTACATACAAGAAAACTGAAGATAAAAGTTGTAGACAGCAGCTCAAGTCCACTATCTGCTATGGCCTGCAAGAATTACCAAATCAGCTCATAAAACATGTTAAGTTTTGCACAACAACTACAAAACCAGAACCATGCTTTAATCCAAATCATTAATCTCAAGATATATCTTAATAACTTCTCTTATAGTTTTTCTAGGTCTTCCTATATCTCTAATTGTTTGACTCCTCTCTATCTGATCTACTCTCCTCACCATAGAATCTACATGTCTTCTCTCCACATGCCCGAACCACCTAAGTCTATTTTCCAACATTTTTTCTACTATAGGTTCTTCTACCGAACACTCTTTCTAATATTGTCATTTCTAATCTATTCATGTCTAGTCTTACCACACATCCAACCCAACATCCTCGTCTCTAAACTGCATTCCGCGACTGCAATGGGAGCTACAACATAAAGGGTTTAAAAGTCTCCCTAACAGCATCAAAATGGCAATTACAGCCGAATCAGCCAAATTTTCCTGCATTGTTCTTCAATTTAGAATCAGTGTTGTCCATGGCGGATGACGGTCTAAGGCAGCAAACTCCATTGTGATGAGCCCAAAAACTCACTTACATCCACCATAGTGCCGATATTCGATAACATCGGAGAGATTCGCAACAACTAGATTATTGATATAAAAAGTATACAGACACTTACAGTGGGAGATACAAATTCCATCTTGGCACTGATCCAAAGAAGTCCAACCAACAGGAGAAGCGAAAGTAGACCTGGAAAAAAATTCAAAATTCAAATAAAGTCAAAGGCCCATGATATGAAAAAAAAAAATCAAGAAGCAGGGTTTATAAATGAGAAGTAAAATAAGGAACCATTGCAGCGATAGTGAAGGCGAGTTGAATCAGAGAGAACAACCCCAGGAACAAGTTTTCCAGGGAGAATAGATCCAAGAATGGCCAAGTAAGCGAAAAAACCCGCAAGTAAAGAAACCTAAAAAAAGATATGAAATTGATTATTGTTTTGGAGAAAAGAAGCGAGATGAAGAAATGGGTTGTGAGTAGTAGGGACTAACGGAGTTGGAAGATGGAATGAGAGCGTGGATTAGGAAATCTAGATCCATATATGTTTCACTGTGAGTGTGCGGTGAATGAAGAAGAATAAGAGAGTGAGAATGCTATGGTGGTGGTTCTTCCGGTGGCTCAGTGGCTGTTCCAAGTTGGAATCTATGAATTTTCTTTGTAAAACAAAAACAACGGCTCTGAGTTAAAACTACTGAACTCCGTTAAACCCGCGTTATTGTAATCGTGAAAACAATAATGGAAACTAGTTACTAGGAGTACTCCATAAACAAAGTGAAGGTGCGAATAGCTACAAGGTATGGTTTGGTTGAGGAATGGCTATTCAGGGCCAGATTACGAGATTACGGCTAGCCCATTTATATTTAGGAGACGGAATTTCACTCTCCAAACTTACAACTTCGTAGTCATCTCTAACGAAATTTTATTTTTGTCTCCAGAATTCAGAGATGTGTCTTCGAATACATCAGATTTCATTTTTCTGGGGTAATTTTGGAGACAAAAGTAAAGTGAGGATATGTTTGTGTCATATCAGATTTGTGGTGTCTGATATCTAAGTTTGGTGTATGAAGTTAAAGAAATGGTTTAGACATCCTATTTATAGAAGATTTGGAACAATTTGCTCCTAAGAATTCTTATCATGTGTTAGGGCATGTTTCGGAAATACACTTCTGAAACAACCCCTTATTTTTTAAACAAAATTAGGGTGTTTTCGGAAGTACAATTCTGTAACATTCCATAATTATTTTTTTTTATAATTCGAAAATGTATTTCTGAATTATGCATAGACGGAACTCTATGTTGGCAAATTTAATATCATTCAAAGTTAATTTACAATTTAATCGGTAAAAGTATAAATCGGTAAATTATATAAATCAGTAAAATATTTAATAGATATATTATATATGTATTGAATCGTATAGATACGTTACAAAATAATTCGATATATTGTGCACGAAAATACATACAAAAAATTATCTGATTACATTCTAAAATGTACCGAACGAATGGCTACCGCTTAAATCTAAAACCGGTTCTTTCTTCGACTTCTTCATATTTGATTATCTTTCAAGTTCCAACAACTTGGTGAATTCGGCCATCCTTTTCAAAAAATGATTCAGCCAAGTTTCCGTCTCTTTTGCGGAATGTGTCGTCCATTGCACTGACGTAGCTGGAATAGGACACCCGGGCTTCAAAAATACTTGAATAAAATGGAGTGGCCTAAGATACCCAAAACATATGATGTGGTCAAATGGGTCTTGAGGTAGGCGACTTCGTAGTGGAAAAAATATCTCTGAAAAACCATATTTCGTGAGATCGATACACACCATATCATATGCACTTGCTATAAGATGGCCCATTTCAGGGAAGCACATTGTTGTACCCCAAAATTTTCTCTCTCATTTCTCAATAAATTTCTCAAAAGATCACCCTGGACCCTCAGGTTTGCTTCCATCCAATTTCAGGCATTGAATTACAAATTTTCCAAGAAAGTCATTCACAAGGGTAAAATGGTCATTTGCGCATTGAAAAGTCAAACTTTGACTTTTGATCAAAATCAAGTTTCAAGGACCATATTTCATCAAGACATGTTGAAATATGAAGTTTGTTTCATCAAGAAATTCAAAAGTCAAAATTACTTTGGAAAAGTCAAAATTCTAAATACTTAGAATTTTTCGAAGTGTTTAAAAAATATGACAAGCTCAGAACTTCTGATCAGATTATCACCATGATGCAAGCTGATTCTGAAATAATTTCTAACTCAAGAGTTTTAGATCTCAATATGACCTAAAATATCACAGAATAGAACTTCTCCTAGAAATGTTGGAATTTCAAGTCAAATCCTCAAAGACACGTCCCTAAAACTAAAGCATTCAGCAAATTCTTGACACTTTCAAGATAGAGTTTGGTCAGAACTTTTGGGCCAGTTTTCACAAAGATTCAGTCAAAGTTTGCAAGGGTAATTCAAAGAAGATTTACAAAGCGTGTTGCAAGCTCCCTGAAAAGTCTGAGAGCTCCTTCAGAACATGATAGAGCAAGAAGATACAAAGATCAGAAGTTGGATGTCTATTTTAAGTCACGCTGAAGCTGAACTTCTGATCCAGAATTAAGCAATGATGCAGAATCTCACGTTACAGGATTTCTGGTTTGATCAATCTCATCATCAGTTAATGCTCACAACCACTTTTGGGTCTTTATTCAAAGGATTTCCCCACGTATGGCAGTACCATTACTGTCTAGGAAAAGCAAACTCTTGTACAAGAGTGTGTTGGGTCCATGCGTTGCTTTTGCTTTTGAGGTTACCTTTCCTTAATTCCTGCTTACAATTCCAGCTTAGGCGTTGCTAAAGCTGCTAACCACCATACTTGCTTCAAGAACAAGGCAGCACCCTAACATGTGATGGTTGTACTCTACAATCTATAATATCCTTGCCCATAAATTGAAAGCCATTGGCAACTGTAAAGAGGTCATGAAATTTGAGAAAAGAAAAAGCCTTGAACCCCAGCTAAAATTCCAAGAGTGCAAAACTGCAAACACAAAAATACAAAACCTGTTAGCTTTTGATTATTGCATTCAGACTCCATTTTTCCTCAAGTGTTTCTTGACCAAGTCATCCATACAGTTTTTTATATACATTTAGAAGCCATCCTAGTTTCTGTTTTCAGACTAACACACTCTCCATCAACCTCCACCTCAAAAAGTCAGAATTTTGCTCCTTGGTTGTTCCAGAATTTTCCAACCATTCATAGCCCAAGTTGAAAGTTTCCAACCTACTGAGTACGTGAGGAAACTGATCAGAACATCCCAAGCAGTCAGAACCAGACTCCAGCTCACAGAACATTTTCCAGCTGCAAGGTAAGTTTCTGCTGGCCCTCCTCATATTACTTAGGCATTGTTAGATTTGCATGTTCAAAATACAATGTAGACATCCTGATTCTGATGTTATACATATTATGAGGTTTCATGTATTTGTCTGCCTAAGTAGGGAGAACATTAGTTCAGAACTTCTTAAGGAAACGAGGTTTAGCAGATACATGCTTGTTTCTGATTTACGGTCTTGACATTTTTTATGTTTCTGAAACCATGAGGGAAACCTACCATAATTGCTATGTTTGTGTTTTTTATTCTGTTGAGAAATGACCAAGTTGCAGATGTTATGATTAGCATGAAGAAAGAGGTAGAGTTTATCATCAGAACTTCCAAACTCTCTCAACAACCAAAAACTCCTGACTTTTCAGTAATATTAGCATTTCTAGGCTGCCAGCGGCATCAGAATTTCTGAAATCTTCTTTGTTCCCAGCGGACCCAGAACTTCTGACTTTACCTATTTCTACTAATATGATTTCTGTTTTTGCAACACGCCAGAGTCAAAACTTCTGATCTCTTTTAGTTCAGCAATGCGCTGATTCTATTTTCTTTTTTTTTACTATTTTTGCTATCACTTCTATTTTCACTAATCAAAAACACCAAAAACATTTTACATTTTACATGCTTTATTTTATTTCTTAACACAAAAAGATTAAAAATATTTTCTTAAACAAAACTTATTTCTTTTCTTAAACAAAACAAGTACATTTCACATTTTCTTGTACATTCTTATCCATTCAATATGGTTGTAATAGTAACTTAGGATTTAATTTTATTTGCAATCTCCATTTGTAAATCTGTACACCCCATCCTCCTAATGATTGTAATAGCGTAGGATATTTACTTTCCACACTTTTTATTGCTTTCATATATTGCTAGTAATTAGGGTGTGTATGGCAAGACATGAAATCAACAAATAGAGAACCCTAATCAAGACAAAAATGCATGCAATCAAACACACTTTGCACATATGCACACCTTAGGGTAATCTCACTTGTTTCCTATCAGAAAAAATAGTCATGCCCCTCGAACACAGGCGTTTTAGAAAAGACCCTCGATAAAAGATCATAGTCCCTCGATGACCCTCGATGTTGCCTTCGATAAACGATCTAGTCCCTAAACGATATTGCTAAAGCATCCTTAGGTTACCTTCTATGACTATACGATGACCCACGCTCGTCCCTTCACATCTAACGATGGGGATTCTTACCAAAATAATGGTAAGATAGCAACACCTAAAGGAGGAGAAAAAGAACATCTAAGACCTTTTGAGTAGGTAGATTCACTCCTAGTTGCTTGCTTGCTCACAACAAAAACATTATATACACCAACATTCTCACTCTGAAACATTTTTCAAAAGACAACACTTTGTATGCGTTCTTATAGAGACGAGAATCATAACAAAGACACCTTTTCAAAATCACTTTCAAAAACATATCTCACAAACACTTTTTTGAATCATTTTCGAAACAAACACTTTTGTATGCGTTCTTATAGAAACGAGAATCATTATGAAGTTACATTTTCAAAATACTTTCAAAACCCACAAGCACATTCAAACAAAAAGCAAGTGATCTAGCAAGTAACTAAGAGCCCATGGAAAACCATGGATGAAAAGGGTACTAATACCTTCCCTTTTCATAATCTACCCCCCGAACTCAAGAAATAATCTCAAAGGTCTTTCCTGTGCTTTTTCACCTTTCCTTTTGGATAAAAGAAAAGCCGGTGGCGACTCTTGCTAACCGCAACATTTGCGATTAAACGCAAAACACCCAAGTTAGTTCTCCCACCGTGTCACACACTTCCACTTTTCAGGTGGTGCGGAACCGGTGAGACTTGGAACAAGAGCGTTATGAATTTTATTGAAACGTTCCTTACCCTCGTATAGTCGTACATAATCTTCCTTATGCATTGTCAATTCTGAAATAAGTGTTTGTCGTACAATAGTGTGGTTCTCCTCACCTTTACCAAGTAAACCAGACACGGCCTGAAACCCGCAATTACCCCCCCCCCCCCCCCCCCCCCCTCGCATCTACATGTTGCACCCAAAATTTTTCCCTCTTATCTTCTCTTTTATCCAGCTTAGACTTTTTAATCCATCTGCATACATTCCATTAGGTCATTAACATAACATACATTCAATAAAGTACCATGGGTTCAAAGAATTAGAGATCAA